TAATATAATGTCATATTTTATGTTAGTTTAAACAGTATAAATATGTAAATATGCTGTATTAAGCTAATATCATGTCATCTTTTGTATTAGTTTAAACAGTATAAATATGTAAATATGCTGTATTAAGCTAATATCATGTCATATTTTGTGTTAGTTTAAACAGTATAAATATGTAAATATGCTGTATTAAGCTAATATCATGTCATATTTTGTGTTAGTTTAAACAGTATAAATTGCTTTATCTTATTGGGTATTAGTAGAAACAATATAAAAATGTACACTAACGTTATCAGGTTATGTCGCTTTGATATAATCTAGAAGTTTATAGGCTTCCTATGTCATCCAAACCTTAAAATACGTTTTACATCAAATTGAACCTAAATGCAAATTACTTAATACTATTAAATTAAATAAATGTTTTAATTCGTTTGAAAAAGATAGAAAACTAATGGAATAAACTGAAAGAAAGCATTAGGTGTGCTTCACAAAAACTAATTCTAAAATGTGTTAAGAGAAAATACAAAAATTGGATGACGGATGAAATACTACTGATGATGATGGAGAGAAAAAGAGCATTTCAGAATATGATGAAAACAGGAAAAGTATCGATGAAGTAACAACAGGACATCTGAAGGCCCTTAATGAACCAGAGGTAAAGATTGTAACAAATTTATGTGACAAAATTTACATATCTGGTCACATACCAAGTGATTTAAACCACTATTTATTTATAAAGACACCAAAAAGGCAAGAGGCAATGAAATGTAGTCAATACAGAATCATAAGCTTGATGATTAATCTTGTGAAAGTAATGCTGAAAATATTGATAGAGAGAAATAATGCCACTTTAAAAGCAGAAATGAAAGACATTCAGTCGGAATTTAAACCAGGTGTGGGCACAATATAATTAATATTGAATTTAAGATCGATCTTTGACAATTACCTGGAAGTGAGCAAGAGCTTATATACATGCTTCATCGGCTATGAGAAGGTTTTTGACAGGATGTATCATCAAAGATAACAGATGTGTGACATAGACAGTAGAGATGTGAGACTCATTCAGAACCTGTACTGGGATCAAAAACCAAGTATTCGTTTAGAGGAAGTTCAGTTAGATGTTAAACGTGGTGTAAGACAAAGTTTCTTACTTTCAACAAAGCTGTTCAACCTTTACACAGAACAGATATTTAGACAGATAGATTAGCTCACAGGGATAAGAATTGGAGGGGTTAATATAGTAGCACTGAGGTACGCTGACGATACAGTGCTACTGATAGAGTCATTACAAAGAACAGTGAGAAGGAGAAATTTAGAGTATGAGTTCTGCATGAATATAAAGACGACAAAAAACATGGTTATGAGGAGAGATGTAAAAAGCCAAATGTCAACATCAAAGTGGATGGTCAAACACTAGAACAAGTAAACGAGTTTGTCTACTTGGGGCAACTGATAAATAAAGATGGTAAATGTGAGGCAGAAGTCAAAAGACGGAGAGAAATTGCAATAACCAATTTCATCCGTA